AATTTTAACCAGAATTTTCAAATGCTAAATATTTTTCTGAATTTTTTTTTTAGAAAAGCAACATTTCAAAACAAAACCAAAAAAATCACAAGGAATTAAGTACTTTAAAATTTTGGCTAAGGTTTCCCATTAAACTTATAAAGTTTCCTAGTGAAGGCCAGTAAAGGTCCATAAAAGAATTATTGTTTATTTCTTTTAAAAAGACACTTTAACAAGAAATACAAATCAAAATGCACCTATATTGAACTGAAGGCACCAAATTAGTCCAAGAACTGCAGAATTAATAATCCATCCTTTAAAGCAGACAAACACATCACAGAGTCCAGATCGGTGCTGTATAATAGAAATAAAATGTGAGTTACATACCTAATTTTGTTTTCTAGAAGTTACACTGAGTAAAAACAAGGAAAGTGAATTTTAATATTATATTTCATGTAACCCAATATGTCTAAAATATCTAATATTTTCAAATTAGATATTTAACATTATTTTTCTCAAGTAAGCCTTCAAAATTTCAAGTGTGTTTTATACTTTATAGTACACCTCAATTTCAAATGCTCAACAGCCAACTATAGCTAGTGGCTATCACACTGGACAGTGAATTTCTATATTCTTTTAGATAACAGTAAAATATAAAGGCATGTTGTGTTTGCATTTAAATATTAAGAGAAATATAGACAGATATCTTCTGTTTTAAATATTAAAATTCATATCGAAGAATTCTAAGCTCTACTTTTTAAATATAAGTTTTATTTAGTTCTCACTTTTATTATAAAATGCCTTGAATTCCACTGAAATTTTAAAGACTCAATAAGACTTCCAATAAAATACAAATTACACAGCCATTTATGCTTAATTTGTTTCACAGACTGGTAATAACACTTTGCACATGTGCATTTAATATCTGATAAAGGCTGGTGCATGCCTGTAATCCCAGCAGTTTGGAGGCTAAGGCAGGAAGACTGCCTGAGACCAGGCTTTTGAAACCAGCCTGAGCCACACAGCAAGACTCTTGTCTCTACAAAAGTAAAAAATTAAAAATTAAAGAAATATATCAAGATGAGGTAAAAAACATTAAAATAACATAATTCTAAGAATAATAATTCAATCAATGACATATTGGCTGTCAAATATCTGCAAAAGCTTTCTTAATTCTTTTATATATATTATGTACAATTTTAACTGCTTTTTCCTTTGAGGAAATTTTTAATGACTCAGGAAATGTGGATTTCTGCTATTTTTCATATTTAAATATTTTTGTAATTATGGGGTATTATAGTGAAATTTGCCATTGTGACAGTGTTAGGAAGTAAGAGGTAAGAGGGAGGTTTCAGGAGGTAATAGGGCCATAAGGGCCCAACCCTCAGGAGAGGAACTAATGCCCTTATAAAAGGGCAAGTTAGACCCCTTTTGCCTCTTGGCCCTTCTGCTTCCAACCAGTAAAGAGAAACTGTCCTCCCTCTGGGGAATACAGCATTCAAGGAGCCATCTTGAAATGAGAATCACCAAATCTGTCAGCACTTGATGCTGGATTTCCCGACTTTCACAAGTGTGAGTCAATACATTTGTGTTCATAATAAATTACCCAGTCTATAGTACCCTGCTACAGCAGGACCAGACTAAGAAATATATGGATATATCTATATTATATATTAATATATGTTATTTAAGTAATGATTATATATGTATATGTTTATATAATATTTTATATATGAATATATTAATATATAATATATGTAATTGGAAATATATTTGGTCTGTCCTGGGTTCCAGGCACAGAGATCCTAAACCCCTTGAAATTTCCTGATAGGTGTGAGTCTTTTGAGTTTATGCTAACAAAGTGATTTAGGATGGGACCCTAAATAGCTTCAGGATAACTGGTTACTAGAAAGACCAAGTAATTAGAGGGCTGTAACTTTCAGTCCCACCCACTGACTTCCAGGAAGATTGAGCTCTAAAACAACTCTGTTACAAGGTTCAGGATTGGAAGAGCTTCCAGGTGCTGGGAGGGTGGAGAGGAGGAGAGGACACGGAAGCTCTGTGAGCACTGCCCCATTTCTTTCCCTGGTATGATCCCGAGTTGTATACTTTATAATAAACCAGAAAAAGTAAGTAAAGTGTTTTCCTGAGTTCTGTGAGCCATTTTGGCAAGTCCCTGAACCTGAGAAGAGGCTCAGGTTTTGGGTTAAAACCTAAAACTGCAGAGTATTCATCTACTTAACACTGTATACACTCGGACTTGACGTGGAATTTGTTTAACAAAGCTAATGCTGTCATACTGTAAATGACTAAGAAAATGTACGATAATAATTTTAGAAAGTCTCTTTGGCTTAGAGAATAAATTACCTCTATATGTAAAAGTAATTTATCTCTATAAATTACCTCTATTTTATAAAAATATGAGAGAAAAGAAGTAATGATAATGATGTTGTGAGAATGAATTATCCACTCAATATAATAAAATGGCCCACAGTAAATGACTAGCTTACATTGTTTTCCAAAAATAGTAAAGTTCGTAATAATCCATCAATTTTACCTCACTCACGCTTCCTTATGACCAACAGAATATATACTTCAAATGCTTTTTAAGTTGGAGGCTCTGTAAGATAGAATTATCATATAGTCTATTTCTATTTATTAAGAAATAAATAAATTGATCTACTTAGAATCAAAAGTCATGATTTTCATATAACTGGTACTGACTAAGCTCTAATCAAAATGATTTTAATCAGAATAAAAAGCAGAAATCAACTGATGCAGAGACATTAAATATAAGACTGAAAATTTAATATCTGATCTAACTAGCAATTAAAAATCACTAAGTTTCTTAGCTAGAAATCACTAAGTTTCTTAGCTATCACACTCTCAAAGTGATAATCACGATGGATTAGAAAAGAAAAACTTAGAGACAATAATCTAGACACAAGATAACAAATACCTAGATTAGAACAGAAGAAGCAAAAAACTAGAATAGATAAGAGGTGGTGAAGAAAGGAAGAAAGAGGAACAAATTTTAAGAACACAAGAGCTTAATTTACAGCAGGGGTTGGCAAACTATAGCATGTAGGCCAAATACAGCTGGCTGCTTTTTGCAAATAAAGTTTTATTGGAAAACAGCCAAGCCCACTGGTACTTGTATTGTCTATGGCTCCTTCATACTATAGTGGTGGAATTGAACAATAGCGACTACATGGCCCACAAAAGCTAAATATTTACCACCTGGCCTGTATTCGTTTCCATTCATTATAGGACTGCCATAATAAAGTACCACACAGTGGATGGCTTACAGCAATAGAAATTTATTCTCTTACAGATCTGAAGGCTAGAAAGAAATTCAAAACCAAGGTGTGCATAGAATTATGCTCTCTCATAGGCTTTAGGGGAGAATCTGTTCCATGCCTTTTTCTTAGCTTTTGGTGTCAGCAGCAATCCTTAAGCATTCCTTGATTTGCAGTCACATAAAACTAATCTCTGCCTCCACTATCACAGTCGTCTTCTCTCCTGTTCCGTGTCTCCATATAGTGTTTTCCTCTCTTAGCAGAACACCAGTCATATTGGATTAAGGGCCCACAAGACTCCAGTATGACTTTATCTATCCACAACGACCCCATTTCTAAATAAGGTCACATTCTGAGGTGCTGGGGTTTAGGGCTTCAACATATGTTTTTAGAGGACATATTTCAACCCATATCTCGGCCCTTTACAGAAAAAATCTGACAACACCTACTTTAGAAGAATAAGAATGGAGAAGTAGGCCCAGAGGCACATCTGCACAATGAGAGATTTAAAATAGCACAACTGGGATTTTGTTTTAAACATACTAAGTTTAAAGCAACAGTAGTAGCGCTCTAAAAACGTCAGGCAGAAAGCAATACATATAGGTCAGGGATCTGGATTAGCTTACAGAGAGAGGAGTCAGGAGTAACCTGAAAATGGATGGGCATTCTCAAACAAATGTTTTGTATAGCAAGCCAAGAACTGATCTTTAGACAATGTCTCCGTTAGACAACAATGTTACTACAGACTGTTCACTGCTACATGACATGAGATAATAATGTAGAAAATAATATAATTTAGTATTATATAATCTGAAAGAGAAACAACTCAACAGTGACAAACGCAGCAAAGGAACTGAAGAGGCCTATGACCAGGAAATTTGGTTAGAATGAGACAACACTCAAAGAAGACAACTTTCATGGAGAAACTATGACAGAAATCAGATTAATAGGGGAAATAGGAATGCTTAAAAACTAAAGACAGTAGGTACAGTAAAATACCAGATTGGTGGCCTCCAATGAACCATATTTCCTGGTTATCTATATCCTTGTAAAATCTTCTTCCACATAGACTCTGAGCTTAGCTAAATGACTTGTTTTCGCCAACATATTAGCAAGCGTTGGCAAGCAGAGGCATGATAAACACTTGTACATGGGAACTTGCCTTCTTGGAACACTAACTGCTGTGCTGTAACAAAGCTTGGGCTAGGCTCCTGAATGATGAGAGGTAACATAGAAAGAGATTGTGTAGAATAAGAGGCTGTCTTAGATACTCCAGCCCCAACAGAGCTCCCAAGAGATTGCAACTTCCATAGTGACCTCAGCCCCACATCTAAGGGAACAGAAAAACTGCCCAGCTGAGCCTGGTCAATCCACAGAATCAGGAGAAATAATAAACTGTTGTCATTTTAAGCAACTATATTTTGGAGTGATTTGTAAAGGAACAATAGATAACATACAGTCAGAATAGGATACATGTTTGAGAAATACAATAACATGAGAGTGAAAATTTTTATAAAACCGGGAAGACTTATATCCAAATGGGTGGGGGGGGGACAGAAAAACCATGTAAATACTTATAGAGGGTAAAATTATCATGTTAAAAAAAAAAAACTAAAGATGTTGAAGATGAAGGCAATGAGCCACGCGAGGAAAGAGAAATTTTACAACTAGAAACAGAAATGCAATCATTCTGTTCTAAGCAAGGAAAACATTTCTACCTACTTCATCACTTTCATCTACTTCAATTCCACCATCTTTGTCGTCATCCATTTGTTTATGTATTGTTTGAAGAGCTTCTAGACTAAATCTGTCTTCTTCTGTAAAGCATGGTGGACTCAGTGACATGCAGGGATCTGAAAGAGAACAAAGGGTAATTACTAACTTGCCATACCAAAAATAAAGGCTATAGTTACTGTAATTTAAAAGAAAACTAACATAATTAAACTTCAGACTAAAGAGGCTTTAAGACGTCTAACAGAATATTCTTTACTTCAAAAGTATAATATATGAACACAACTGACTAAAAATAAATTCAATTTAATTATTATTAGCCAACTACAACCAGGAGTTATGCCAGTATTAACTTCAGGTTATCTAAAATCTCCACATGTTTAACCATTTCTTCTCATCCAACCTGAATATTTACTAATCATTGCCCCCCCACAAAAAAACAATGGTCTCCTTCCACTAAAAAAAAAAAAAAATACTTAAAAAAAAAATCACAGAATACAAAGTGTTCTGTTTGCACAATCCAGTTTAATCAAAATGATTCCCAGAAAATATCACCCAAAAAAAGGAAAGGAAATGTAGAATAGTCACGTGACCCTTTTTGTTTTCATTTTTCTATTTAAGATAATCCAAGAGTCTACCCATATTTCAAAATACATAAGTTCTTAGATTCAACGAACACTAACCAGATTTTTAAAAATCTTGTTCTTCATGTTATCTTTAATATACATTTATTGGTCAAACCTCTCCCTGTGGAATATGTGTGAATCCTCACATTTAGTTTGTCAAAAACTAAGTTAGAAAGCATGAAGCATTTTTCAATGGCTTAATATGAGACTGATGGAAATTACTTCCTCTGCACATAACTAGTAAACAACCTATATATCAAAATGGAAAAGGACAGCCAAAGCTTCACTTACACCCAATCTGGCTGACTGGTGGACTGACAAATTCTAGGAATTTACTTCTCTTTTACCAAGTCACTAAAATAATATTCCTTTAAGATGTCATCAGAACCACATCTATTTCCAGAAATAGTATGGCCTTAAAGTTGAAAGTGGTTAATGTAAGAGACGGGATAGACACAGTTTAGTTATCTCATAAATTGTTAGTCTATCATCTGGCCCTACTATGAATTAGCTGTCATCAGTTACTTGTGGACAAATTCCTTGTCTTTGTGTCTTAGTTTCAGTTACTTGTGGACAAATTCCTCGTCTTTGTGTCTTAGTTACCTCATCCTTAAAAAAAAGCAAGTAACAATGCTTACTAAGATCTAATGCAGCTAGAAGAGCCTAAAGAATATCTAATTCTGTGCTTGGGGAAAAAAAACTGGGAGAAGAGAAGCCAGTATTTGAGGCCATATTACCTAACATATTCCAATTACAGCTGAAAAAATATTTTGGTGATTTAACATTTTTAATAGTTTCAATTCAAAATCTAATTTTAATTTCTTTAGCCTTGGAAGGAAAGTAAACAGAAGAGAAAGAAACTATAAAAGTAGGAAATGTAATTATAAGTTCTGTGTGATACATGAACATATTTACATACAAATATTTAAACCACCAGTCAAGATTTGCTAAAAACCAAGAACTTACAGGCATAATGGTCTATTACAATCCCTGATTCACAAAACAATCAAGACCTGATATGCCCATAAGTTTGAATTTATCTGCAATTACTTAAAAGATCCAAAATAAAAGGTAAGATCTCAGGTATCAAAACAACATATAGTGTAAAGATCCATATATAATGTGTAATTGCCTCCAGCAGACCTATTTTTTACACATAGTTTATTCTGCTTAAAAAAAAATAAAGTGAAGGTGTTCACTCCAACTTGTATATAAGGAAGGGCCAGCATCTTTCACTCTGATTAAACAGGCTTTGTTGTTAAAGTCTGTAATAGGAGTCAAAAGTGAGGGATGTATAACCATAGGAAGCTTTAAGAGAAATTAGGAGCAATATGACTTGAAAAAGTCATATGAAAATAAAATTGGTAACTATTTACTTAAATAGGCATATTTCAGAAACACTTATTAGCTAATCTAATAAATACTGTCTCTCAATTCTACTTCAAGATGTTATTAATATTTCTCCATGAAGTCTTTCATAAACACTATCTCCTAGTGATCATTTCCTTCTCTGCACTCCATTCAATCTACTCCACAAATATCTAATGGGCACCTAACATGTGTCAGGCACCAGAAATAGGTGAACAAAAGAGACAAAAATCCTTATAAAACTTATATTCTACTCGGGACTGTGAACCTAACAAGATAGATAAGTAAATGGTATAGGCACGTTAATAGTGGTTAAATATTAAGGAGAAAGTGAAAAACAGATATGAAATGTCAAGGGATTTGACATTTTTGATTATATCTTCATTTTCTAATCAGTCTACCTAAGTCCTCACTTAATGCTGTATTTGATTAATCTTTAATTGCCTTATGTGTCATTTTTGTCCATATAACTAAGATTATGAACAGGACAGGGACCATGTTCCTCCACTTCCCACATAATACCCAGGACTTAGCTGAACATATTTTAAGCCTCTGATAAATTCTGTTATGTCATATATTAACCAAATCACAAACTTCTAGGCTTCTATCCTGTGCAAGGCAGTGACAGGCATTAAGAATTAAGGAGAGAGGAAGTATTCAAAGTCAAAACTCACAGTTTAGTGAGAAGGAGGACATGTAGACTCCTACAATGTATTATGTTAGGTAAAAGTTTTCTAGAGGTAAACTCGAGGAATTTTAAATCAACTGTAGTTGGTGACCTAGAGAAGAGATAAAAGCATGCCTAGAGGCAGCATCATGTGTTCAGTAACATAAAAAAATACACGAACATTCAGAAAATTGCAAGTGGTTTACAGAGACACCAATATACAGAAAACAAAATCAGGTGGAGATGGCTAAAAGGCTACATCTCAAAAAGCTCTGTTTTTCATACTAGAATATTTGGATTTTTATCTTAAAAACTTTGAGAAGCCATTAACAGATTTCAAGGAGGGGACTAACACAATCAAATTCATTTAAAATCTGATAACTCTGGTGACAATGGAAAGGGACGATGTCAATTCACCAGATCCCTCTGGTGACAGTGGAACAGGATGGTGGCAAGACTGAAAGACACAGCTGACACTCATCCTGGCAGCACTCTACAGACCATGCCTCCAAGGAACAGAAATGGTAGATGATGATTCTGCTCTAAGGTTTGGTGTTTTGCCAAGTTGGAGCAGCAGAAGGAAAGACAGGAGTTGAAGTTATGGCAAGAGTGATCCATTCCTTCACATAAAATTTTATTTCCTTTGAAGTATGACTTAAGGCTGTTACAAATCTAATTTAAAATAGCTGTGAATTCTGAACTCTATTACCTATTCTAATGTCTCTTTTCATTTCTTAGTTGTTTACCTTCTAGGTTAATTCACCACATGTGATCATTTTAGCTGGCCTATATTTATTTAAAAATATACAAACTGCTTAAAAAAAAAAAAGGTCTATGCCTATAACTATCATGATTTCAAAGACAACTGCTAAAATACCAATCTCATTTTCCTTTGCTTATATTTTACAGACACTTTCTTCAGCTACCCAAAATACCCCAGTATACATCATCCTCATCTAAACAGAATTCACTTGCTAATTTAAATAAGATATGGGGTGCCTATAATATGTCAGGCTCTGTGCTTGGTGCTGGGCACACAAGGCAATAACTAAGAAAAACGTCCCCCGCTCGTGCTCTCACCTTGTGTTAAATGCAACACGGTGTGACACAGCTTCTGATTTTATATGCTAAGCATTCTTTCCTTTCTCTGGATTAACAGCAGCACTTTGCACTGAGGGAAAAGGAACCAGCTCCAACAGAATGAGACCTAACCCAAGTCAGCTATCAATACATTATTAAACTCCACCTTGTTTTCCTGTAATTAGAGCCAAATGCTCAGTATGGTTCTAAAGAAATAAAGTAAAATTAATTAAAATTATTTCACCCATTAAGAAATATCTACAACAGGCCAGGCACAGTGGCTCATGCCTGTAATCCCAGAACTCTGGGAAGCTGAGGTAGACAGATCACCTGAGATCAGGAGTGCGGGACCAGCCTGGACAACATGACGAAACCCTGTCTCTATGAAAAATACAAAAATTAGCCAGGCATAGTGGTACACTCCTGTAGTCCCAGCTATTCAGGAGCCTGAGGCAGAACTGCCCAAACTTGAAAGGTGGAGGATGCAGTCAGCCAAGATCATGCCTCTGCACTCCAGCCTGGGCGACAGAGTAAGACTCGGTCTCAAAATAAAAAAAGGAAGAAACATCTACTACATTCTAGAAACCAATACTATTTTATGTACATCATTTCTTTTCTGCAACCTGTATGGGGCAAATGATATCTCTATTTTCCAGATGAGGAAATAAGACTCATGAGTAACTTGCTTAAGATGACACTCCTAGAAATGACAACTGGGATTCTAAGTCTTCGCAACTCCAAATCCATACTCAAGCATCAGTATAACGAACATAAATGGGTCAGTGTCACCAGCGTCAGAGAATTAAATACTGCTATCATAGATATTGCCAGGACCTGGCTAAGGAGCCAACTACACCAAAAAGCATAAAGGTACCCAATGGAAGGAGATCATCAGACACTTGCAGAACAATAGTCACAATCTAGAATACATATCTGTACTTCCTGCCTTACTTTTCCTTTAGATAATGTATCTCCACTTCAATTCACACTCCCCTTGAACAAACCATTATATTAAGTATATTATATTGTATTATAACTTTACCCTAAACTTGATTGGGAACATGCATTGCAGTAATTTTTTATTCTCAGTATCTACTACAGTAAGCGACATATTTGTTGAATATTTGTATTTGTAAATTAGAAACCAAAGGAATTCGCTTCCAAATACAATTCATTTATGTAGCAAATATCTAAATGCCAGACTTTAGGTTAGAAGCCAGGTATACAAAAGGTAAAAACAAATAAAATTAAAGATGGCAGATGCAATGACAGATATAAGTAATAAATATATAGTGGTGGCAAAACTAAGGGAATAGTCATGTCTACATGCATAGCAAGAAAGCCTTCAAAGATAAAGTGACATTTACATTGATTCTTGAAA